GGGGGCCAGGCAGGAGAAGACTGGTGGAGGAGAGTGAGGCATGCTATGTGGGGTGCCCAGCATGACTGTGCGTCAGGAGAGTGCAAGTGCATCCCGGCCGCTGGGTCTGGGTCCTGATCAGTGACCTCACTCTTCCCAACAAGAAGGGATATTTGCTCCCTGCCTCTGCTCAGAGGAAGCTGGTCCCGACAGGCAGCATCTCACACACTGGGGAAACCCGCAGATAGCAGCCATCAGGTGACTGCTGAGCTCCCAATGAGCCTGGTCCCTGTGTCATCACTACATATTGCCCAGAGCACCCCTCTGGGCCTCACTGGGCTCTGTGCAAGATCCTATGGCCTTTCCAGGAGGAAGTGGGTCTGCCACGCGACCAGTGCACAAGCCTCATAAAAGAAAGTTCGATGCATAAAAATTGCTAGTGAGTTTTAAAATTAAAGAGACAGACTCTCATTTACCTTTATTTCCCAGCTCCGAGACGGCTTCTCCTAGCTCCCGCCTCCAGCCACCTAATGCGGTGGCGAGGTTTACATAAGAGGAGAGAGAGAGAGAGAGGAGAGAGAGAGAGAGAGAGAGAGAGAGAGAGAGAGAGAGAGAGAGAGAGAGAGAGAGAGMGMGCGCGCACACACCAGGGAGTGAGCTTTTATTGGGAAACAAAAAATTCCAGAGAAAATCCCATCCAATGAAGGTTACGGGGGGGCAGCATCCCAAGGTCAGAGCCAATGATTGGGTCTTCGGGTCAGTGGCCAGGCACGCCTCTGCACGGACAAGCCCTCGTACCTGGGACAGGGTGGGGAAGGCTCTGACACCGCTGTGTCTAAGCGCCTCTCACCCAGCCAGGGAGGTAACTCAAATCACGTGCGAGGATGGCCTCCCACAAGTGGGCACTCAGGGGTACGCACTTGGAGACCTGCAGACAGGAATGTAGGAATGGCTATACTCCACCTTGCTCCTTGGACACAGGGTCCCCGACTCCAGGCCATTGGGCAAGGGCTGATGACTAGGGCCTCTCACCAGAGAGGCCTGGTAGCCACCTGCTGGTCCATAGCCAGAGGCTTCTCTAAGGTGGTGGAGGGGTGGCCCCTTTCCTTAGCACATGAATGCCTGAAAAAGGAGCTGCTCCCACAGAGTACAGAGAGGGAGCCCTGGCAGTCACTAACCCAGTGCAGTCTATGTACTGGATGGGGTTGTAGAGGCTGGGGGACCCAGGAATGCCCACCCCAGCCTCTTGTGACACATAACCCCAAAAAAGACATAGGAGTCGTTTGTATGAGGGCCAGAAAGAGCTCTCTCTCCATGGAGGCCCAGTCTGACCTGCTGGCTGCTGGTGCAGAGGCAAAGGCAGCTGCAACCCACGGCCAGAGCAAGCGTCACTCACTTCCAGCTCAGCAGCAGGCCTGCCCAAGCCTTCTCATTGCCACTGCGTCCACCACAGCAGTCTGTCATAGGTCCTATGTATTCCAGTGGTTTCAGAGAAAAAGGCTCATCAGACACTTCCTAAATTTGAAATTTAAAACCATTTCTGATTTGCACAATGACACCATTAGGTTCTTGATTTCATTATAAACTGTTCCATTCACTCTGTGCTTTCAATAAGCTGCACATTGGCAAGGGAGGAGTAGGCTAATATGAGAATTATGCAACTTGATTTGTAAAACATATTTGGAGCATAATTATGCAACTAAATATGAGTTTCACCTCTAGTTCATGGTTGTTCTTCACATGGCGCCTTATCTCTGACCTTCTAAAATAGGTCCAAAGTAAAAAGGACCAGGCTGCTGGCAGAGTGGCTGGCTGCAGGCCTGGGCAGGAAGCTGGGGTGAGCCAGGAGCACCTGTGGTAAGGAGACGAGAGGGGGAAACAAAGAAAATGAAAATCCAACAAGGAAGGGCATATCGTAGTGGTCAGGAGCCAACCCGAAGAGCGTTCAGTGGTGAACAGAATAGGTAACAGGATTGGCGGACAGCCCGCAACGTACAGCAAATACTGATACGGAATAATGGGGGAGAAGGGACACCCCCTGAAGAACTTCACACAGCTGTTCTTCCTGCAGGAGCAGAGCACAGCCTTCCACTGAGTATAAAGCCAGTGACACTCATCCAAGGGACAGAAAGGGAACTGGCTCAACCAGGGAGTGGAAAGGTGTGGCACAGCCAGAGGTGGGCCAGCACCCCAGTGGTGGCAACGTGGTGCCGTGACACAGACCCCTGCCTTGGGACTCTGCCCTCCAAGTGACTCCTGGAACTGTGATGCCCCTGTGGCATCACCCTCCTGGCCAGGAGACACCAACAGAAGACTTGCCATGTAGCTTCCACGCCAAAATGCAGGCAGTGGCCCCTCAGGACAGGGCGAGCACCATCGGCTCCTCTCTCTCACCTGTTTGTCTTTCCAGCAGCTTCAACTCAGTGGCAGCTCCTCCTGCACATGACAGATGATGCCTCAGCTTCCCTCCTCCCTCAGGCCCACTCCTTCTTGGCCTTATTGTGGGTGCTATGCCTTGGTTCCTCCTCTAGCCTGGGAGCCTGGGCTCAGTGCAGAACTTGCTTCCTGTCCTCCGCCTCAAGGACCTGGCCGCCTCTCTACTCCTACTTGATGTGCTTCCTTCCTTCTTCCCACTGCATGCATCAAGCTGGACTTTCCCTGCACATTTACTGCAGCCACCATCCATCTCTTCTTGCATCAGTGACCAGGTCCTCAGTGCCTGTACTTACTGTCACCTCTGGCTTATCTCCCACCAGACTGCTTTATCAAAGTCACCCCAGACCTATCCACACCAGACCCAAGGTTGTATCCAGTCCTCCCCCAGGTGTCTGGTGGGAGGAACACTATCTTCAGTGGTCTGGGTCGGTTTGGGACTGTGAGCTGTGAGTGACACTGTGCCATTGCTGTCTCCACCCACCACAGGAGCATCAGAGCCTCTATTGTGTGGTGAACTCAGCCAGCGGGGCCAGATGGGGCAAGGCCATCCTGATAACCACTCCTGTTCCTCCTCCCTCCTGTTAACCAGTGCTGGATCCATCTTCCAGGACATGTCTGCAAGGACAGAGTCTGCCCAGCTGGACTGCAGTGGAGATGTACTGGCCAAGCAGCCTGTACTGGGCACCAGAAACTTCAGACTTGTGCGTCTTTTGACATAGAAATTATATTTCTATATAGTTCTAGGAAGACTAGGGAAGGCAGAAAGAGACATAAGCAAAGATGCTGTCTTAACCATTCCTACTGCTATAACAAATACCCCAAACTGGGTGACTTTTCAGTAGCGTGAACCCGTTCCTTACCGTTCTGGAGGCTGGGAGTCAGAGCAGGATGTCAGAAGACTGTGCATCTGGTGAGGCCCCTCACTGCTTCCAAGATGGCCCCTGGAGTGCTGTGTCCTCCGCAGAGTACTGTCGGATGAGGTGATCACTGCTTTCACGATGGCACTCTCTGGAGGGGTAACGCTCCATGGGAAGGCACAAAGAGCCACATTGGTCCCATGAGCCCCTTCGTATGGCATTAATCTATACATAAGGGTGGAGCCCTCATGCCCTTACCACCTCCTAAAGGCCTACGTCCTCATACTGTCACAGTGGGTTAGTTTCCAACATGTGACCTCTGGGAGGAAACCTTGAAGATAATTATCAAAATAGTGCTTGATATAGCAATTCAGCCACCCAGCATAGTCAGTCATTGTAGGCTAGTCACATTTTTAAACATTATAGTATATAAAATAGAATCCATAAAAGTCTCATGCACAAAATGTAATGCTATGGGATATTCAATCACTATTACATAGACCAGAATGAATTAATACAGAGGAATATTGAGTATGTAATGCTAAGTGTGAAAAAGTAGAGCAAACACAGGCAGTTTGATTCTATTCTTGCTGAAGAGATTTACTAACTCCACCTGGACAGCAATCTGAAGAGGAAGACTTCCCGACACCACAGATGGATGATCTTTCTGGGAACAGCTAGCTAGGGGTGTGCTTTTCTATCATGAATATCCCCTATCTGGTTATTTTAGTTTAGTAATGAACCATGGGGATGACTTGGGTGGGTAAGGCCTGTAGGACTGCACCTCCTCTGTGCCTTAGTGGGCACTGGAAAGCCATGGGACTTCCCTGGTGCAGCCTGCATCTTCTGCCCAGCCCACAGCCCCTCTGGACATTCCCTCCAAGCGTCTGCATGTGTTTGATGGTTATGTCGTCTGGTCTTTGTGTAAGACAGGGGTAAAGGTAGCATGTCACACCAGGCAGAGTGGGAGGCTGACTCTTAACCTGGTGGCAGAGGTGCCTAGGCAGAGAGGGAGGCTGACTCACCGGGTGGCAGAAGTACACAGTTTGGTGGATGAACCAATTTATGTGCCCCTTTCTCTCGTGCCAAGTGACTCAGCCCTGGGGTCTTGGTCAGTCCCTGCATCCCACCTGTGCAGATCACAGCCCACATCAGGACTGATCTCAAGAGCACAGCATACTCATCCATTTCTAGCTTATGTGTGGGCTTGCTTCTCAGGGAAGATTACAGTGAATTACAAATGGCAGGATATCCAGTCTGTGCTGTTTCAGGCCCTCGTCCTGGTGAAGAATAACCTCCTGATGCAGTTCCGTGAGAACCTGCAAGTGTGTCGCCAGCCAAGCCCAGGACCAGCCCGGGGCCAATGGGTAGGCTCTGCCTCCTGTCCAAGCCGTCCACAGGCAGACGGTCAGCAGCAGCGATGACAGCTCGAGCCTGAAGAGCTGCGTCTGGATTAATGTGGGCCGAGGTCCCCCCATTCCAGGGGCTTAGCTGCTGCAGCCTATGTCCTACAGGCACTCTGCCTTGTTCAGCTGCCCTGTTGGGGGAAGGAACCATTGGAATGACAGCCCACGAGTACTGGGTGCCCCTCCAAGGGCACAAGGGGAGCGGGGCGAAAAGTAGGTCACATGTGCCTGGGCCATGTCACGCGGTCCCCACCCCAGGCCAATGGGATGGGTGGCTTCCTTCAGTCGAGAACAAAACAGCTCTCTAATTTTTCTCCTTTAGCGTTTCATCTTCTCTAAACAGGGAGAGTGGCCATCTGTCTGGTACCCACATCCAACGCGATCCTCCCGACCTCACGGGGCTGCTTTGTTCTGAGGTAAGGGGATTTTGTGGGCCTGGGGAAGCAGTCAGCGGAGCAGGACAGGTGGCCGAGGCTGGCTGTGAGGACAGCAGACCCAAGGAAAGCAGACCCAGGCGGCATGGCAGGGCAAGTAGAGTTCTCACACGTGTGGGTTGTCGGGACGAAGTGCTCGGAGGAGCTGCCATGACTGCACAGAGCTCTTCCTGGGTGGACGGGCGGAAATTGGACTGTACGTGCAAGTGGTTTCAGATGCTTAGAGGACAGTGCTCTGCTCTAATAACATGGCTCCTTTTGAACAGTCAACGTTGTTCTGATGCTCTGCACTGGTAAAGCAACATTATTTGTAGGACAATGAACATAGTCTTAAGGATGTTTGTCAGAGATAGTGAATATGGATGGGGACGTAAACCCCACCCTGAGCATGCTGGTCATTCTCAGGAACCAGGGTCCAGCACCCTCCAGCTGGGGACATTGCCCTCTGAAGTAAACAGTTGAGCTGTTTGTTCCTGTGGGCAGGAGCTCCATGAAACCCAAATATCAGTGAGGCTGATGCACACCGATTTCTACCAAATGGAGGATGTGCAGTGTTGGAGCTCGATATCAATATTGAGAAGTAGCTAGTTCTTTTAGTTCTGGGAGGGCATCAAACATGACTTTCTTGCATGATAAAGCTATGCAGACTGCGTAATAGTGTTTAAATGTTGGTAAAGCTAGTGCGAGTTTTGCAGCTTATAAATAACAAAACGTCCGATCTTGCCTGAATGAATCGAGTGTTCCATTAGCTGGGGACCCTTCGGATGAGCACATCTTGTCAGTGGCGTGTGCAGGAGGTGGTGTTCGTGGTCTCTGTATGGCGACCATTGGTGCCCCATCCAGACAGACTAAATGCTGGTGTTTGCATTTGCTGGAAAATGTTTCAGAGTCCTAATGGGGTTTGATCTTAATCCGTTGTATCAGTGAACAATTTTCTGCCTTTGAGAGATACAATATTTTAAATTTATGTTTCAACTGTTTGTATGGCCAGGATCATAAATAGGGTATCAGCTGTCCCACATTTTAGTTTATGGAACAGCAGTGGTACCCGTGGTGACACAAGAAGCTTTCCTCTTAGAGCAAGGTCATGGAACGCCTGCACTTAGTAATACCCTTTCCTGTCAACTACAACCTGAGGGTGAGTCCCTAGTCATGTTCCAAAGGGCRCTTTCCTTAACCAGGTTCCAGTCTTTTTTTTTTTTTTGGTACTAGGAATTTAACCCAGGGGCACTTAACCACTGAGCCACATCCCCATTTTTGTATTTTATTAGAGACAGGGTCTTTCTGAGTTGCTTTGGACCTTGCTTAAGTTGCTGAGGCTGGGTTTGAACTCGCAATCCTCCTATCTCAGCCTCCCTAGCCGCTGGGATTACAGGTGTGCGCCACGGCACCCGGCCAGGTTCCAGCTCATGGAAAATGTTCTGTTTCACTAAAGCAGGATAGAAGAATTCAATGATTTTCCTGTTGATGGCTTTCAATCTTCCTTTTGTGCCTGGGGAAAGCCAAACCAACTTTGTGCAGCTTTTAGCATTGTCTCCCTCTCTCTGCTGCTCTGTGTCCCAGGAGCTAGTCTTCCTGTGGCTCTTAGTCATGGCGGGCTGTAGCAGGACAGAGGTGTACTCTTGTGATGATCATGAGGGTTCACATCGAATTATAAAGTCATTACCCGCCTTTCCCACTGGCCTTCAGGGGAAACACAAGTGCTGCTGCCTCAAGGGCAGGCCCGACCGTCCTTACTGCCCCTCAGCCTCCAGTGAAAGGATGACAATACAACCATGCAGAGGCACTGGGGCACCTTGCGGATTAGATCATGCTACCCAGACCAAAGGACGCCCCTAGAGCCTGTCTCTGTGCTCCTGCCTGCCCATCCCCAGGCTTCTCACCAGTGGGCAATGTGTCCTTAGGCACTGTGGACCGACTGCCTGTTCACATCGCCCTCATTGTGCTGGCTTTGACTCATTTGGGAGCTGAAGGGTCACAGGTAGAGTTGGCCTGACCAAGTCTTGGGCAGGTTCCCTCTGACCCTGCACCCCACACTCCATGTGTGGGAGGTGCACACTATCTGGGCCCTGCTGGGTGGGGTCAGGAACACCCCCACAACTGGAGCCTTCTAGCCACGGACACTCAGAGAACCAGCAGGCCCGGATGCTGTGACTTGGGGCCAGCAAGGCCATCCATGGCAAAACTAGTGGGCTTTCCAGTACCCTCTGGGGCTCCAGCCCAGCTGGAAGTGATCAGACCCCATTCTTTACACCTCAGCTACACGCTCTTAAAGAAAACACATGTCTGGCTAGGAACCACCCCCACCCCAAGGACACTCTGGAGGTACAGCCACAGCTCCCTCCTGCATAGTGATGTGATTCAGAAGCTCTGGGCTGGCCCGCACTCTGGAGCTGAACAGCCTTCCAGGAGGTCCTCTGTGAGTTTGAGAACCACTGTACAACCATGCAGGAGTGAGAGTTTAAGTACAGGTCACGTGAGGCTCCTGTACCACTGGACTGGTGGCCGAAAGGGGCAGTCCTGGGTCAGGAGAACAGCCTGTGGTGTCCAGTGACCACATGTCCAAGGTGAGCAATCCCCTGTGGGGACTCCTGGCTGAATCATGTGGTTCATTACCTGTGGCGGGCCTTCCTGTAAGAAAGGAGACAGGCTGCCCCCCACACACGTCCACTGAGAGCCCTGTGGGAAACCAGGAAGGAGGAACCTAGAGGAGAGTGACCTCTGTTGCTAGAGTTCAAGGTGAGCAGGACCCCAAGGCAAGTGCCAGGGGAGAGAAGATGCACTGGGCCACAACCTCTAGTCCTAGGACTAGGGCATCCACTGGTAAGTGTCCAGGGGTGGGCAGGTATGGCCAGGAGAGGTGAAAGGGCTACAGTGGCCACTGTCACAGCCCCAGACAGGAACCAGGGCCAGAGGGTCTCAGGGGAGGAGAGGACCTGACTGGGGTGGTAGCCCGACAGGGGCAGAGGTGAGTCCTGGAGACCCTGACACAGCCTTCCTGCCTGTCACACAGATACACAGACCCATGAGCTCTCTGAATACATTCAACATCACCTGCCTGTACGCACCCTCTTCCCTGCCAGCACCCTCTCCCCCCGGCTCAGCAGCCCTTCCTTCCCCTTGTCTCTGCCCTGCTCAGACCCTATGTATGTGTCCCCACACTGAGGTACATGTGGGGAGTACGGGCATTAAAAACCATCAGAAGAGTGCAGGGATGTGGGGGGAGCCATGCACCCCGCACTACCAGGAAGAATGGTTAACCTGGTAGGCATGGGGCAGAGGGTAGATGGCAGCAGGGGCGGGACTGGGTTTGCTTTGCTTTAATCTTTGTGTGTGTGTGTGTGTGTGTGTGTGTGTGTGTGATTTGTTTTTGGTTTTGTTTTTGTTTTTTTTCGCTGAATCAGAGATTGAACCCAGGGCCCCTGTGTGCTAGACAAATATTCTACCACTGAGCTACATCCCCAGTCCTTGCTTTGCTTTAATCAAATCAGCATTTAAATCACTAGAAATGGATAAACTATTCAATAAGTGATGTTGAGTCAACTAAAAAAAAACCACTAAATTTAGAATTTGATCTCACACCAAATACAGATGTATTTGAGATGGGGTAATGAGCTAAAAGGCACAGAAATCCACGTTGATTTTGAAAATGATCTTTTTCTTACAGGGCATCGTAGGCCATGCCACACTCCAAAAGGCACAAGAGTGCCAGGTCCATTAGGGCAGAAATAGCAACCAAACACAAATAAAAAGGCAGCTGTTAAGAAACAGAGACTCCGAGCGGCTGACAGATGTCCAAGGGGCCAGTGGCCAGGGAATGGCAACTAGGAGAAGTGTGCATGGCCGTGAGGAGTAGAGGTTGGGAGCACACGGGCTGCCTGTGTTCCCTGCAGACCTGGAGGGCGAGGACCGTGCAGCTCTGCATGGAAGACTTTTGGCCAGGTCTACGTATACCTGACCAGCAGTTCTCACTGCAGGTCTTAGCAAACCTTCATGTGTGCAGAGAGCTGCATGTAGGGTTGTGAGAGGAGCGGAGCCCTGCCTACAGTCAGGGTGCCTGAGGCTGTCAAGTCTGCACTCCGGCCTCCCTGGAGGAAATCAGGATGAGGGCATCGACGGGAACAGGAGGTGTGCCGTGTTTAAGCCACAGAATGTCACTGGGCAGTAAGAAAGAGGATGTGTGGTGATGATGGGCCCAGCCCTAGCAGCAGCAGGTAGGTCTCAGACATGCTTTTAGTCAAAGAGTGGGCTCAGAGTGCAAGCCCACAAGGGGACAGGAGGACGCTGCCAAGCTGCAGCAACTGCCTGGAGTTGGCCAGAGCTGCCTCACTCTGGGTGTGGAAGGTTCCAGGTCATGAATGAGTAAGTCACATGCTCAGGGCCACAAGACACTCGGGCTGCACCCTTCAAATTATACTCCTCACAGCCTCCAGGCGATGCTGCCCTTCAAAGCCAAGTCACAGAGCACACATGATGTGGCACTTATGCAAAGTAGGGCTAGGAAGAGGCCCAGCACCCGCTTCAGCATGCAAGCGTGTGGCTCCAGGGAGCTTTGTCCCCTCCGCAGCCTGTGTGTTCCCAGAGCACTTGGGCCCTGCCTGCCCTGGCCAGGCTCCACCACGCTCAAGTCCCAGTCAGGACAGCTCGGTTGGCATTCATGTTGCCTTTCGTTTTGTTCTTTTTATTGGTCTCAGAGAGGATGCTGCTGCTGTGACAGTCACACTGTCTGGGTGTCTAAGAAAGTGAGCTGATTGTGATTGATGTGGACCGGAGCCAGGAGCAGTGCCGAGGGGCCATGACAAGGAGTCCACACCCAGATTCAGCCCTGGTCCCCGGTGGCCCCCCAGGGGCCTCAGGACTGGGCTTACAGAACAATTGTTCTCATTCCCAGTGTGCAGCCCTCAGTACCAGAGACCTTGGCCAGAAACAGGAGGCAGCAGGGGTGAGCCAGAGGAAAGGCCAGGACTTCTGCCTGGGCTGCA